ATATAAAAAAAAACCATTATTATTCTAAGAAAAATTCTAAACGGAAAAATATCTATTATTTTTTTAATGGAATGAGTACATTCTAACTTTACTCCATTTATTCAAAAATAATTATCGTTTTATAATTTCAAATTTGTCTCAAATTAATTGTTATTTTTTTATTTTTAAGATAGGCAAATACATTTTTTACTTTAACCTTATTATCATCCGATTACTCTAATTAATTATTGCATCACAAAAAGTCTCTCTTTATATTTTATTTCTTTTTAAAAGTAATATAAGTAAGCATAAATTATCTTAAAATTTTTAATTTAAAAAAATAAAAAAGAAAAAATTATTTTGAGACAAAGGAAATACAGATAAAAATTAATTTTTCTGAACTAAATAAAAAAGAAATGATATAATTTTATCCTAATAATGACAATGATAATTTTTTTTAGTTATTGATCAAAATTAAAAAATATGGATTTGTTAAAAAAATAAAAATAAAAAGAATAAACAAAAAATCTCATTGAAAAGTGGCAACATTGTTAAGATGAACAATAGCCAAAAAAAAAATAAAAAGCAGGAAATATAATTTTTCAAAACTGCATACGCTACGTAAGCATGCCAGGATTCTGTTAAAAAAAAATTAACAAAACTATATTAAATAACTGATTTTGAAATGATTTTGAAATGATTTTCAAAGTTTATAAATGAATTTTAAAAAAATTAGACTTTCTAAACTAAAATGATAAGAGAATAATAGTTAATAAATGAAAAATTAATTTTATCATGAATTTATTCTTTTTTAATCTAAAGTAAAATTGTCCCTACTACCTAATTTTGAAAGTGAATTTAGGCAATTTACCTTTTTCCAAGAAGGAGATTACATTTTGTTTCCATATTGTAAATAGAGATGTGCTCCATTTTTTCCAATATGGTTACTACTTTTGCTCTGGCGGGAGAAAATAGTTGCTATTTCTAGGCCTTTGACTCTACCTATGTTTTAAGCATTTCTATGATTTATATTTTAAATTTTATTAAACAATAAAATATAAATTATTAAATAAGATAACAATTTTTAATATCAAAAAATCCAATTCACATGTAACAATTAATATTGTGTAGTTTAGTATAATGATTGTAGTTTAAACTGCGCGCATGACACTTTATTTTTAGATTTTTATGCTTGATATTGGAGTCGCAACCAATCTGATTTTTGTTTGGGTTTCTATGAACGGATTGATTTTTTTGTATTTCTAGCTGCTTTAACATTACAAATGCAAACAATTTTGATTTGTTTTACGGTTATCATGTTTTGAGCTATTTGTTTAGAAGCATTTAATTGGCCTGATCTTTTTTAGTGTTGGTTAATTTTACATATAATTAATTTGAACTCTAATAAATTAATCTATATTTATCATCATTGATTATTTAATTATAGAAATAATATACTTAAAAACATGAGGAAGAATTAAATTTCAAAGATAAAATGAGGATTAAAGACGAAAGAATATTTGTCTAACTTGAAATTAAGAAAATAATTACTCCTTTTGTTTATTTTTATTAAATGTATTTTTTATTTGAGGCATTTAAATTTAATTATTTATTTTTTTACTTTAGGATGTCATTTAATATATTTATTTTTATTTTATTTTAATTTTAAAAGATAATTACAATATATATTAAATAATAAATTTTATTTAAGTAGTATTTAATTAAAAATAAATATGAACTTTTATTGATAAATTATTATATTTTTATTTTATTAAATAAAAAATTAAATTTACTAAAAATGAAGAAAGTAATTTAAAACAAACTTTTAGTAAAACATATTAATTTATTTATAAATTATTTATATCATGTAGTTTATATATTACAGAAAGTTTTATTTTAAAATCTGAACTATAACAATTTTTTGGGTATTATATATCTGATCGGAAAAAAAAAAAATTGTTGACCCACTATTAAAGCTCCGAGAAATGCTAGGGGACCGCGACCAAATGCCGCGTCCCATAGATTTCCCCTTTTTAGGGTAAATTTGATATTTAGTCTCTATTTTTAACGATTTAGCTCCATTTTAGTCCCCTATTTTTAACAATTTAGCTTTATTTTAGTCCCTTTATTTTTTTTAGTTGAAACAATTTAAACTAATCTTGTTGGGATTTAAAAATTTTAGAGTTTTGTGATTAATGTGTTATGGTTAATATTTAAATTTTTCTAAGATTTAGTATTTAAGGCATTTGGGTTTAAATTGTTTGAATTATATATTTTATGATTCTAAAATTTAGATTTTTGGATTCTATATTTTATGATGTTAAGGTTTGAATTTTTTCAAATTTAGCCTTAATGTGCTAGGATTTAGATTTTTTTAGAGTTTAAATTTAATACTTAAAAACTTAAGTATTTAATAATTTAAAAATCAAAAATTAAAAGACCAAAAGTAAAATTAAAAAATTTTCGCTTAAAAAGAAAAAAAAAACTATAGGGACCAATCAACTTGGGTAC